CTACAAACTACTCAGTTATATGTCCCTTAACATTGCAGTAGGCCTACTCCTCAACCTCAGCACTTCAATTCAACAGATAAATTATATCATTCCTACTGTCCATCGAATGAGCATGGTGTCAGCTATACCACGGTCCCGAGTCAAACCTACATAGCTTTTCATTAGGCAAATGAGCACCTGCTCTATAGTCATGTCCGTCCAAACAACCGTCTAGAACTTTTCAGAACGCTCAATGAATGGTGAAGAACCCGTTGGTGGTAAATAACTGGTGTTTATTGAAATTCATCTTGTTTCCTAATTTCAACATATCCTGCAGGTACAGATTCGAAAACTTGGCATAAAAGAAGTAATATGTAGCATGGCAGAACGACAGCAAAGTTACAGCCTGTTTTCACTGTTGCCTCTTCATTATTTATATAAATTCATCTTGATAGTATAAACATTTTAGTTACAATAGATTTCTTCCATAAAAAAAGAAAACAGTTACGCCCCATGGGCTTCAAAAGTTTCCATGTTTACATTTTGAAAGAATGTAAATATATCAACTAATTTAAGTCAGCTGTAAATACTGAAATTTGACAGTTCGAAGAGCAGAGGTTAAGAGGTACTGGTTATTATGTTCCCAAGAGATTTTCATACAAACAAACATTTCAAAATAAAGATTAAAAAATCGGATTGCCTATATACAAGGTGTTTGTTAATAATGTAAATTGTTATGTATTTAGTATTCTATAAAGTAAACAATAAATTAAATATATTGATATATTTATAGTTAGTAGGTAGGCCATACATTATGAAAAGAGACTCAAATAAACCTTAGATTTCCCACATGCCTCTGACTTAATCTGATATGGCTGCTTGAAATAGATTTAACATCCACAAACATTAAAAACACATTGGGTTTAATCCCCTTTGTAAAATTATGGTATTTAGAACATCTTCCCCTTCTTTCACCCGAGGTTTCTTTCGTTGACAAAGATGTGTGTGGTTTCTGAGTGCCTCCTCCTACACTACGTTTGCAGTCTGGCCGCCCGGAGCATAAATAAAGAGGCTTTGCTGGATCTCACACTGAAATACGCAACGCACAACCTGTCCATGAGAGAAACATGACGATCCGCTCAGTTCCACAAGGCTGTGGACAACGTCTAGTCTTGTGATTTATTAATCGTCACGGCGAAGCAAACTGTAGCCGCTTGAACTCTAACTGGTAGCTGCTAGGAATTAATGAAATTATTGGGGAAAATATTAATTCCCCAGTACCACAACTCGTGAGAATCTCTGCTTCAATAAAGTGTCACGGGAGACTGCGAATACGAAGACGCGTTCCATTACACAATTTGGCGGGATGTAAGTTTCTTAGCAGCATCACTGGAGCTCCAACCTTCAGGGTGAGCTCATAGACAGGCAAACCAGGTGCTGATACTGAGTCGAGAAACTCTGCTGGATAGTTTACAGCATCGTCTTCTCCCAGGATGTGAAATATTAGTATGGAATAAAAGGTTTTCTGAATTTCATCAGAATATGTTCGTAAACAAGCAAATCAGAACAGTTAACTTATTTTTCTTAAAAATAACATGAGAATTTAAAAATTTACAGTCTTTAATTTCCTCCTTAACCATTAAGCGTATAACGACGCTTCAATATACTAAATTATATATTTTTTAAACTAAAAAAAGTAAATTGTGAAATTTTGGGTTTTTTGATCGAAAATGGGAAATCCAACTTGTTAAAACAAACACAGGTTTGCACGTTTATAACAAATTTCATGCTGACGGATACATACCATAAGTGTTTTGTACAATTATTTGTCAAACTACATGATACAGGTGTTTGAATGATGCCCATTTGAGGTTCTTAACTCCAACAGAAAGAGGACATAAATCGAGATGTAAAAAAATAATTTTAGTTGTTATGAAAAAACTATATTATTTATTTCTCTTATAGTCTAGTAATAGATTTAGTTAAACAGTGATTTAATAGGTAGTTACATTTTAAATTCAAAACAGCTGATTAACTGTTTGTTTTACATATGACCAATGTTAATTTTACTTATGCCAGTTTCACTGCAAAGTAAAATATTATTTTGGTACATGGAAATCAGGTTATGCTCGAGGAAAGTTATTAACACTGTAGGCTATATACTACTACACCTGCATGTATTTGATATATGACAATTACCAAATTTAAAGTAATATACCTTCCTGTAAAATTTGCTCAATGTTATTGATCCATATATTTTCCTTTTAGAGTAGTAATTTTAAATCAAAATTTCCCCGTTACCTAAAAAAACTCTTATAAGCGTTAAACTTGGTACATATATTGAATTTTACTGCCGAAATAACATACTATAAGTCCTCGAAAAAAAAACTTGTGCTACGGCCGCCATCTTGGAAAATAGCGTCCAAAAAAAGGTTTTCTCCGATTACTCAAAAACTATTTATCCTATAAAAAACATTAAATGTAAATAATGTTCACCATAGAAAGAGCTACAACTTTTGTATAAGTCATATTTCGATATAATTAACCGTTTAGCCATGAAATGCAATATTAAGAAATAAATTTGAAAATTCGTAAAAATACATTAATTGCCATGAAAATAGTTTTAAATAAATTATTTTAAAAAAATATTTCATTATTTTAATTGAAAAATTGGAATGTTCTGAACATTTTCATATCAGTAACATAACTTTTCCTTTCCATGTTGTGACATTTTGAATGGTAAACTGCTGGTGCTTTCGTTTGTAGACTACCATAATTATTCCATACTGAGTTCATAATGGTACAAGGATGGGCGATTTTAAAAGAATGCCGGGATTTCAAACGGTCATTGCTTGGGGACTATTTAAGGTAATTAAATGATTTAAACGTCAAATTGAAGGGAAAAGAATAACATTTTTTTCTCATTATTTGATACAATTCAGAATGATTTAATAAAATTCAGATTTTTATCAATCTTATTGGCCATTTAAGATAATTAAATGATTTAAACGTAAAATTGAAGGGAAAAGAATAACAATTTTTCTCATTATTTGATACAATTCAGAATGATTTAATAAAATTCTGATTTTTATCAATCTTATATGAGCGTAAAAATGGTAAAGTCTGTACGGGTAATGCGGGTTTATCTGATATCTTAACTCAATCTTTTTCGGCATAACGACTCTATCTTTTATAGATAACATCATCAACTAACCAATTTAGGTTTGTTCAACTGAAGACTTCGTCGGGCAATCGATTTTTTCGGGCTTCTGAAGCATAATTGTCGGATTTCTTCGACTATGTCATAGCTTGTTTTTGACCGGCCAGGTGAATGTCTTTTCAAAACACTTCGGTGCCATGAAACTCATTAAACCAGCTTCAAGTTTCTTTATCATCAAGTAGATTTAAATTTAGTTAATTTAGCAATATATATAAACTATGCGAACCACAGATTGCAATCTGTGTCTTCTGTTGTGCCGTAAACCGTCGTACTGGCGACTGGCGTCAAGCGTATGAGTTCCAATAGCGGCCTACCACCGCGCACCTGTTTTGCGCATGACAAGGCGAGAAGTTTCCTCCCAAATAAAACTTAGTTATTTAATCTTCAATTTGACGTATAAAACGTTTAGTTACCTAGAATAATACTCAAACAATTACCATTTAAAATCCCGGCATTTAATTAAAAACACCCTTTAAATCATTGGAAATAGGTTAATATTGTATGTAGTAAAAACAACCCCCTTGAATACAATTAATTGTTTTTTTTATTTAAACGATCATCATTGTATCCTGTTACATAATGGCCTCAACCTTATTCATCATCAGACTGAAGTTCTACTGCTTGCCAAGAGTTTCCGCGTTATTATTATTATGCTGGTTTATTATGGTAGTCTAGCAACGACATTTAAAATTTCACAGGAAATATAAATTAAAAGGGGAAGTTATGTTACTGGTATTAAAAATGTTCTAACATTACAATTTTTGAATTAAAGTAATAAAATAAATTGTTAGTACTTTATTTACAACTTTTTTAATGACAATTATTATGTTTTTTTACGAATTTTCTAATTTATTTTCTAAATATTGCATTTTGTGGCCAAACGGTTAATCGTATCAAAACATTCCTTGTAAAAAAGTTGTAGCTCTTTATTTGGCAAACATTTTTTACGTTTAATGTTTTTTTATAGGATGAATAGTTTTTGAGAAATCGGGGAAAAACTGGTTTTTGGACGCCATTTTCCAAGATGGCGGCCGTAGCACAATTTTTTTTTCGAGGATTTTTAGTATGTTATTCCGGAAGTAAAATTCAATATACGTACCAAGTTTTACACTTATAAGAGTTTATCTTAATTTTGTTCTATTTATTGGATAGTTGGAGAGCGAGCTGGTCTAGTGGTAAAGCGCGGGTCTTAAGTCACTGAGGACAGGTCTGAATCATCGATACATTATAACTACTACAGTATTAGTTGTATATTGATGGTCTGAACCTGATCCCAGGTGCACAATTTTTATTACATATACTATCGTTTTTTATTATGTTTTATTTATTGAACGATTTTGACAACCTTCCAATGAAGTAATCACCTTGACCTTGAGGCCTGAAGATGGTTCCACGGAACCGAAACAAGTTGCCAGAAAGCAGCAAAGGATTACTAACCAGGTATTGTAAACAATTAAAATAAATAATATTTAACTTCAATATTTTAATAAAATAATATTCGCACTAAAATCACTTAAGTAAGCGACATTTTATTCCCATTGCTATAAAGTATAACGGAAACTAAAACGTCTTTGTGCTAAGGAGAGAGTATAAAGGTCCTTCAGGATGGCCTGTACATTTGTAAAAGCTAATAGAATAGAACACTCCCTGATTTAATCAAAGAATTCTCCTCCTAAGGAAAAAATGGAAGATTTCATTTCCAAATTCCATTGCAAAATTCGTTCAATTTTGTATCAAAGGGCTGATAAAAATTGCCAAACAATTTATATTGTAGTAGGATTTAAATGATACATAACAACAATTTAGGCAATAATTGCTACCGTATTTTATTCACTTAAATGTTATATTAATGAAACTAAATTATTTTTTTCAAATATGACTGTGGGATGCATTCGTCAATTGACGCTTATAGAAGTCCAGGGATAAGGAATCCTCCTAGAAGACCACCATCCTCCTCATCGGCAGCAGCGACGGGAACGGCGTCAGGTGCAGGTCCTGACTCTACAGCCTCAGCGAGGACTGTGATCATACACTGCATCACCAGCAGTGCTCCTGTAACAATAAAGTACCTCAGTTATTGTTGTACACTATAGGTCTAGTAATGGTACTGAGGCAGCTGACTCTACAGCCTCAGCTAGGACTGTGATCATACACTGCATCATCAGCAGTGCTCCTGTAACAATATTTTACCTCAGTTATTGTTGTACACTATAGGTCTAGTAATGGTACTGAGGCAGCTGACTCTACAGCCTCAGCTAGGACTGTGATCATACACTGCATCATCAGCAGTGCTCCTGTAACAATATTTTACCTCAGTTATTGTTGTACACTATAGGTCTAGTAATGGTACTGAGGCAGCTGACTCTACAGCCTCAGCTAGGACTGTGATCATACACTGTATCACCAGCAGTGTTCCTGTAACAATATTGTACCTCAGTTATTGTTGTACACTACAAGTCTAGTGATGGTACTGAGGCAGCTAACTCTACAGCCTCAGCTAGGACTGTGATCATACACTGTATCACCAGCAGTGTTCCTGTAAAAATATTGTACCTCAGTTATTGTTGTACACTATAGGTCTAGTGATGGTACTGAGGCAGGTGACTGTACAGCCTCAACTAGGACTGTGATCATACACTGCATCACCAGCAGTGCTCCTGTAACAATATTGTACCTCAGTTATTGTTGTACACTATAGGTCTGGTGATGGTACTGAGGCAGCTGACTCTACAGCCTCAGCTAAGACTGTGATCATACACTGCATCACTAGCAGTGCTCCTGTAACAATATTGTACCTCAGTTATTGTTGTACACTATAGGTCTATTGATGGTACTGAGGCAGCTGACTCTACAGACTCAGCTAGGACTGTGATCATACACTGCATCACCAGCAGTGCTCCTGTAACAATATTGTACCTCAGTTATTGTTTTACACTATAGGTCTAGTGATGGTACTGAGGCAGCTGACTCTACAGCCTCAGCTAGGACTGTGATCATACACTGCATCACCAGCAGTGCTCCTGTAACAATATTGTACCTCAGTTATTGTTTTACACTATAGGTCTAGTAATGGTACTGAGGCAGCTGACTCTACAGCCTCAGCTAGGACTGTGATCATACACTGCATCACCAGCAGTGCTCCTGTAACAATATTTTACCTCAGTTATTGTTGTACACTATAGGTCTAGTAATGGTACTGAGGCAGCTGACTCTACAGCCTCAGCTAGGACTGTGATCATACACTACATCACCAGCAGTGCTCCTGTTATAATAAGTACGATTAAGCTTTGCCTATGTTTCCTGGTAAGTGTATTGTTACTGTTTCTTATAGTAGAATTTAAACCCGAAATATTCTTTTCTGCATTTTTACCGCGTAGCAAAGCACGGGCAGAGCCACTAGTCCGTTCATATATCTGTGGCTAAATATATAAGAAATCGTTGCGTAGAAAGAATATTTATTTTTACCTGTTTTCTCGTTTAATCATATAATGATTAATCAATTTATTCTGTATGCAGTACCGTGACATACAGCTGTTGTATTGTTGTGCATCTTGGAGTGGTTATACAATACAAAATCATCGTTTGTGAACTAATAATATAAGATCCATTGTTTTAAAATAGATATATAAAAGTTGTATGTGTAACAGATTAATTAATTGCCCCTGTTAATTTTTTCCATTTTACCAAAACGATGCATTTTATACCCTCCTTCAATCTGTATTATCATAAGTTTGTGTTATCTTTTATTGATTTATTCGCCATCTATTCCCCACGATTTATTAGTTCATATTGAAATTTATCCTAACAAACACTGTATAAATCCAACAAAGTTACTTACCCAAAAAAAGAAGTGCGTAAGATGTTTTCATGTTGCTCAATTAAGCGCTGTTAGACGATTGTCCATAACAGAAAATTGCTTCTCTTATCAGATATTAATAATGTAAACATGGTAGTAATGTTAGTAAACATGTACAATTATCATAATTGATAACACCTTTATCGCTAGGAGGAAAAGTGTAGCAACCCGTGTGTGTTATTGTAAATTGAGAAACAACAGGAAATATACTTTTAGTATTGCTAGGTAGTATTTGATTCTTAAATTGTGATCTTATGTGAACTTCAGGCTTATCTTCTCTTAAGGGGTTGTAAGTAAGTTCTTTTTTACTCGCTTACATTTTAAATAGCAAGATTATTTCAGAAATGCAATGATCGTGTTTTGTCAGATCCAAACTGGCTTCATGTTTTTCTTTTTATCAGCTGATTTCCTATCGTTATATGTGCCATTGCCGTACCCGCTAGGCAAATATTTTTCCTAGGGCCAAATTAGGCTTATAAATTAAGTAAACTTGATGATGTCAATTTACAGATCCATCAAAACCTCTAATAAAACAATTTAAAGAAGATTAATTTTTATATTAAATACAAAGCAATCTTAGAATCAGTAAAAATGTATAGTTTTGCTGCTTCGTTGTTAGTAGGGCCTATAGTTTATATTTTTGAAAAAGTTTTTGAATTTCAAAAAATTCCCCCATGAGTCATGAGTCATTAATGCTTTCTGATAGTGATTTGTGTGAATAAATCAGCTGGGATACATACAATGTACATTGATTTATATACAAGAAAAGAAAAGAAAGGAGGGGGGGTTTGCTAATATCATAAAACAAATCAAACTGATTTAATTATAAACTGAAAGGCACTAACATGAGTTTTTACTCGTTCTTTTCTATAGATGCTAATAAATCCATACGAGTTAATTTTAACTTAGGACTATAGTGAATCCTGTCAAAACAATAATTCTAAAGTGATAGTTTGAATGTTTACCAATTAATATAAACTAGAGGTCGTCCAGTGGTCGAAAACTCGACCAAAAATATGTTATGTACAGGCTTCTCTATTTTCACCCATCGCTTTAAATAAAACATGTGATTGGAATTTCCCCATTTGTTTTGATTTTCGGTTTATATTTTGTTGTTATTTCGTCACCAGCATGGCAACCCATAAAGCCCATGTAATTTTTTTGTAGTTTTCAAATTCATTTTTTGTGGTTATTTTTGAGCCTATTTTAATTTCTAAAGGGATTCTGCACATCTACAGGAAAGTATCTTTCTAACAGTAGGTATGTGTAGATTTTCCCTGCGATGCACGCGAGCTGAGAAAAAAGGGTGTAAAGAAACATAATATGTGGTAAAGCTTTCCTGTTAATATATAAGATAAAATCCAATGTATGTTTGTTTGTTTGTTTATCCTTTATGGACTCCGAAACCGCTGACAGATTGTAATGAAACTTTCAGGCTTTATTAAGCATTATTTAAGGACGGTTTGTGTGAAGTTTAGTGCAGATCCATCAAAATGGCTCCGCCCCAGTGGCTCTGGAGTTTCTCATGTTAACCTCATGAGTACTCATATTTAAATGGAATTAAAGAATCTTGACAGCTGGTTCAATTAAACAATTTGATTCTGTGATGTTCAATAGCATTAAAAAGTTATAGGTTTACCAACTGGGTGCAGCACAATTTTTTTTTAATTTATGACAACAGCTAATTTGCAATCTTAAGGTGAGTGAGCGTAGCGAACGAACCTCAACCAGGACATGATTGAGCAATACGATCGAGCTCATCTTGAAAATGAACCACACTGTTTTGTGTTGTTTCGTTGGAATCCTGATGTGCGGCAAAGTATAAACCGTACGACAAAGTATAAACCGTACGGCAAAGTATAAATATGCAGCAATTAGCAGCTTTCTGTTCTATAAACAGTACAAGGAAGCCAACATTGTCGGGTGACTGTAGGAAAAAATATTTTTTTTTACATTTTTAATTCAGTAATGGCCGTGAATCTTAAGACTAAATCTTCAACCTCAGTAGACTCTTACTGCTATATACCCTTTTTTTACTATATTATCATTATATTGTTCATAACATTCATTTTACAAAGTAAACGTCTGATTAGCTAAATTTTCTTCAATCACACCCTTTTCAGTCGAAGCAAATATTCTTCATTTATTTCAGTACCATACCACTGCTGTTAATTCATTTAGCGAGTTATAAACCAAAGATGTTGAACAAGACAGTAACATCCTCCAATGTTTTAATAATCAAAGACGTTCTGTTAGGTTCAATATTCCAGGGACTCCAGCATTACAACGTTCTACAGTAGTTAGCAACAACGACGTTTCACGAGTGACCAAATACCAAATAGTGGAGGCTCGGCATCCTGACTGTGACATCCAGATTCCCAATGAAGTCAGAATTGAAGATGAATCACCTCAGTTTCGCAGGTGAACTCGTGTTCGGCAACCGCCAAGGCTTGATAGACTAGGCCCGTTTTAAAAAAAAAGCAATGCAAGAAGCATTTCATGTAACAATTGAGGAAACAGCGTTTTTAGGGTATTTCGACTCTGCTGAGTACGAATCTGCCTGTTGCCAAAGCGAAATTTGAACCGGAAGTGCGGTATCCAAGATGGCGGCCAAAACTCTGTTTTCCCTATATCTCCCTTGTTAGTTGGCCTAAAATAATGGTTTAAACTTGTATATAGGGAGTTTTCAGATGCCAAATACATTACAACACTCAAAATTTACTTAAATTAAGTTTTGAGGGCATATCTTCCAAAATGGCGCCCAAGATGGCCGCCAAAAACTCTTATTTCCGTATATATATATATCCCTGTTTGTTTGTTTAAATGAATTATTTTTAAGTCTAGACAGGTATTTTCTCGTATGTTAATCGCATTGCAACACTCATTATTTACTTCCTTTGAGCTTTGAGGACATATGTTTCCAAGATGGCAATAAAAACTTTGTTGTGCTTACGTGAGCTCCGTGCGTATTGTATTTAGTGAAACCAGTCAGATATATATTAGTGGCTGAATATGTTGTACTATTTTTGAAGTGTCAATTGAAATTTTGCATTTAATGTTAAAGGAGAAGGCAAGTTGTTTTGTACTCTGGTGGCACCATAGATAACGCGTAGTCCAACAGAATATATAAAAATTATATTTTAGACCATACTAAAAATCCGAAAGAGGTGGTGCATGTAATTTAAATTAAACAAAGGTACTTTAAAACATATTAATAAATAATAATAAACAATTTGGTTATAAAATTAATAATGATATTGCACTGTTAACTGTTAAACAGTAAACGCAATACGTTATTTTCACATTTAATAATTAAGAAAACGTAACGAGTAGCGTTTGCCGTGATTATTTAACGAATGGTTCAAATTCTTCCTATTGCTCTAAGTTTGAATAAACCTAGGATTGCAAATTGTACTTACCTCAAATAATTATTTCGTAGCAATGCATAAAAATGTTTACTTTCTCTTCATAAACAAACTTTTATAGACGGTTGGAAAACAAAAGATGTTACCTTATTAACAGTTATTTTTGTATGTATGTATACAATTTCCAGTTCAAGCTTTTTTAAATTTACAGCAACATCTGAACATAATTTCTGATTGGTTCAACACATGGAGATTCAAAATTAACAAAAACTAAATCTGTCCACATTCTTTTTACTCTAAATCGAAATTCTTGTCCTCCTGTCACAATAAACAACACCCAACTTCCTGAAGTAACTGAATTTAAATACTTAGGTATCCATTTAGATAGGAAATTAACATGGAAAACACACATTTGGAGAAAACGGCAACAACTACATTTAAAATTTAATCAGTTAAATTGGCTCTTCGGAAGAAAATCAAAACTAAGCCTAGAAAATAAATTATTGTTGTATAAAACGTTATTGAAACCAATATGGACATACGGAGTGCAACTTTGGGGCTCGGCGAGTACTTCAAATATCGAAATTATACAAAGATACCAATCAAAAATGCTGAGACAGATAACTAATGCACCTTGGTATGTCACCAATAGAACGCTACATGAAGACCTTAAGATCCCTACAGTTAAGGACGAAATCGTTAACTTAAGTGAAAGATATATTTCGAAATTAGAATGTCATAAAAATCATTTAGCATTGAACTTACTAAACAACAAGGATACGGTTTACATGCCATCAATTCTGGACCTGCCCTTCAGAATTTTGAAAAGTGTTTTATCGGAAAATATTGTTGCTGACAGTGCTTAACAGCTATTTTTAATGCTCAAAAGTTACTTTGTTGTATTGCATGGAATTTACTTATTGTTCAACATATTGTAGGCTGTTGCCGTTTTCTCCAAATTTGTGTTTTCCATGTTAATTTCCTATCTAAATGGATACCTTACCTAAGTATTTAACCTCAGTTACTTCAGGAAGCTAGGTGTTGCTTATTGTGACAGGAAGACAAGAATTTATATTTAGAGTAAAATACATGTGGACGGATTTAGTTTCATTAATTTTGAATCTCTATGTTTTAAACCAATCAGTAATTTATGTTCAGATTTTGCTGTAAATTTTGAGAGGCTTGAACTGGAAATTGTATACATGTGTACAAAATAATTGTTAATAAGGTAACATCTTTTGTTTTCCAACCGTCTATAAAAGTTTGTTTATGAAAAGAATAGTTATTTGTACAACTAGTGAGCAATGTTAACATTGTCTCACTGATGAGCGAATTGGCCACTTTCATTCCTTCACGTTGCAAATCTGGAGTGAGACAAAGTAATTAGACTGATGAGCGAATTGTCCACTTTGCTTTCTCAAATCAGTGAGAGAACATGTACATTGTTTGGTAACTGTAGGAAAAGTAAACATTTTTATGCATATTATAACCGTATAACCATATCATATTACAACCAAATTGTTTATTATTATTTATTAATATGTTTTAAAGTACCTTTGTTTAGTTTAATTTACATGCACCACCTCTTTCGGATTTTTAGTATGGTCTAAAATATAATTTTTATATATTCTGTTGGACTACACGTTATCTATGGTGCCACCAGAGTACAAAACAACTTGCCTTCTCCTTTAACATTAAATGCAAAATTTAAATTCACATTTCAAAAATAGTAGCACATATTCAGCCACTAATAGATATCTGAC